AATGTTTGTATTTAAACATGATAAACCGTTCAATAAGAAAATTCTATTATTTACAAAAGAACATTTTTGCAATTATTTGTAATAACATTATTGCAAATACCATTATCAACTAATATTTTGTTCTCAAAACTAATTACACTATAGACTTCGTTCATTAACTCTCATTTTGACCCTTAATAAAAGTTTAGTTGTATCTCTATACTTTGTACGAACGGTTTGTAATAAATATTACTCTTATTATTCTTCTGAAACATTTGAGAAGGAAAATATACATATACCATAAATTGAAATAGCTTTGAAACAGTCAGAGTAACTTTATCAGAAAGTCAGAAAAAGATCATTCTCAATTTTGCAGCTATTTTGTAGGTATTTTTCCGAAAATCATTTTCACGTGAAAATCAACTTTATTTGCAGATCTACGAAACCGAAAATGATCATTTTCTGACTGGGAGAAAGGTACCCTAACTGAGCCAAAGTTACCCCAACTTACGGTAGATATGTATTACGTTGCCTTACAAGTTCTTTTCGTTTCTCACTAGATATTCACAGTACAGAATTTCACAAATGGTACAATATTAATAAAATATATACTATCCATTCTGTTCCACGACCTTCCTTTATCTCTCCAGAAGCCTCATGATGCCACCTTTCCAAAATTCCTTAGACTTACTAGCAACATATTAACAAAGGTGATTTCTTATGTCATTTAAAGAGTCGAATTTTGTCTTACAAATAAAACGTTGAAAAGCAAGAAACAAGTACTAATCCGAAGGGACACGGTCTGGAGAGTAAGGAGGATAAGATAAAACATCGCAATCAAATTGCAACAACTTGTTTCGAACGGCCAAAGAATCTGGCGTTGTCATAGTGGAAGACAACGCCTCTCCTATTTACCAATTCCGAACGTTTCTTGGCGCTCGCTGCCTTAAGTTCGTCCTGTTGAGAACAATACTTCAAAGAGTTAATGGTTCAGTTTTATGGAAGGAGCTTATAATAGACGACACACTTGCACTCCCACCAGATGGACAGCAGAACCTTCTTTGGATCGAAGCCCAGCTCTGGCGAGATATTAGGGGTCCTTATCTCGACTAGACTAGAATCGTTTGCGTACCATGTAGTTATACAGGATCGAACAGTCATCCCTAGTGACCAATTTCTTTAAAAAAAAAAGGGTCTCTTTCGTTACGTTGGAGAAGCAAATCGCAAGTGGAAACTCGGTCCAACATGTTGCACTACGTCAACTGATGGAGTACCCATACTTCACAGCGATTCACGTATTCAAGCTTTATGAGATGGTTATGAACTATTATCTACGGGATGTTTAGAGTGTCTGCAATCTCAGGAACGGTGTACCGGGGCTTTTCATCGATCAGGGTCTTGATGACAACCGTATCCGTGGTAGATGGCTCGCCACTATGCTCTCGATCATCCAGGCTAAAATCTACGGCTCTAAATCTTCTGAACCGGTAGCGAACGGTCTGGATAGTCACAATGTCATCCTCATACGCGGCGTAAATCTAATCGGTAGTGTCCTCAGCACTGTTGCCTTTCTTGAAACAGTGTAGCATCACGTGTCGCCGAAGCCTTTTCCGGTTTTCCATCTTTCCAGGCGTACAGAACGAGTTCAGGACACTGTACGCATTGTTGCAAAATTAAGAAAGAATTGAATACCACAATTTCAACAAAGTGAATTATGAAAAGAATTTTTGGGACAATTTAATATACATATTGACCTGGCATTCGGTGTTCGAGGGTTAAATACTTTTATTAGAACACATATGGTTCCGCATTTACTAATAATAATAAAGTCTCTATTACACGGTAGAAAAAAATATACAACAAAACAGAAAAATATTATGGAACAGCAGAAAAGAAGAAAAGAGACAGAAAGATGGTAATTAGTGAAAATAAGACTGATTCTAGTTTTGAAGCCGAGCTTAAGTATAGATCAGTTGTTTGTTTATACAAAAACGCGCAGTGATATTTTATTTCGATAACTTGTTAAATACTTTTATTAGAACACATATGGTTCCGCATTTACTAATAATAATAAAGTCTCTATTGCACCGTAGAAAAAAATATACAACAAAATAGAAAAATATTATGGAACAGCAGAAGAGAAGAAAAGAGACAGGAAGATGGTAATTAGTGAAAATGAGACTGATTCTAGTTTTAAAGCCGAGCTTAAGTATAGATCAGTTGTTTGTTTATACAAAAACGCGCAGTGATATTTTATTTCGATAACTTGTCGATATCAAGCAGTTGAAGGAATAAGAAGTTAATTCTATTTTAAAGTTTCAAATATCTGAGAACTGAAGATATGCCATGGTAATACAAGAAATGCAATTTGGTTTTTGTGTTTCGTTATAACTGTCGTATATTCCTCAGCAATTTATTCATTTGCGCATGGATATTTTCTAAAACGTAATAAGCGATAAAAAACATTGTCTTCAATTCATCCTTGGGCGTATGGTAATCTTTTGAACAGGATTTGATTCAATAATTTTCATGATTCACCTGTAGTGTATCATGAAAGTATTATCGGCTCTCGACGCAGGAATAACTTACTGTAGGCGAAAGCCACTGTCTGATTATTGTCTCCACCGAGACAGCTTTTCGATTCAATGGCGAACGGGATTTTTATGGGCGATATGTTTATGCGGTTCGTAGAGGGGATCGTCGAAGCAGTTGGCACGACGTTTGGAAAATTGAGGAAACGGATGAACCGCATAAAATAGAATTCCGTACAGGGGAAATATGTTTCGAAACGAAACTTCGTAAACGAACATCCAATTTTCATATCTCTGTCAGTCGATTACAACTGTATAAGGGTGAGAAGAACTTTCTCCATCCGATGAAACATGATTTATCTCGTTGCTTATTGAATTTATCAAATGGAAATGTGCGCTAGCTTTTTAATGCGTTCGTTAAATCAACGAAAACCACGGGGCAGTGACGAATGAAATTCTGTGTGTCACAGGAACCGCTAATAAATCACTTTAAGTCGTCAATTTCCAAGGTGCCTCCAGTTTCGCAAGTTTCCCACTGCTCTCTCCCTCTCTCTCTCTTGACTGCGCAGAGTTTTCGCGAGAATTAACCAAGAATTATGCTCTTGTTTATCATAAGTTGTGACTTGGAAATTTACTGCCGCGTTCACAACATGGTATCATGAGTGTGTATGTAGATTAGAACAGACTTGGCTTTCAGAGTTCAACCCTTGCCTCTAATTAATATTTAGATAACAGTGATAAATTCGCCGTAATGCGAGAAAAATATTAGTCGTCGAAAGAATAGACATAAATTGGTTTTCATTTTTATGAGCTCCTGCGCGCGCACGCGTACTTAGATCACTTTTTATAGTTAAGGAAGAGTGAAATGTTTATTGTAGCTTACGGAGGAGAACGTTCCGTAACTTAAAATGAATACAAAGTACAGACTGTTGTGAATTTCAATGCCGTGCTTTCAGATTAGAACAAAAAATTTCCGTACCGTACTGTACTGCGTTGTAATTCCCCGTGTGATTTATCATTTCGTATCTCTGTAAAAAGCGTTATATTTATAGCTTTAGCGACGATACGAAAGAAATATTGAAATGCTCTTGTACTGTGTGTCATTTCGCGAAATGGATTCTGGGTCATCGAGAGAATTGACTCTCTGCTCTGAGGTTTTATAAACATCAATAAATGTGTAACATGGAGACTAAAACGCGACGTAAAGTGGTTGGGGTTTATATGACTTTGAAAAACAGTGGATCTTAAATCTTGAAGTTTATATAAGAGTCTTACTCTAGCTTAAACTTCGCTACTTTGTTCATTTGTCAGGTAAGAAAATGTTTCAAAATGTCCTTATCGACATCAGTGATGAGAAAGTGTCTTTTAATAATTTTATACAAACGAGCCAGTTAACGAACAATTTAACTTAATTAAATCAATCTGGACACTCATTTTGAAATATAGTTACCCAAATCTAAGTTGTATGAAAACTATCAGATATTGAAACGATAGAAGATCTTATAAAATATTGACTGAGTACATAATGGTATGCCACAATAAAATATACGTATCGTTTGGCTCTTGCATTTCTTGAAATATTCTGTAATACGAATAAGGTAATCGAAGTTAAGAACAATCTATGTATATCTATCAGGTGTACCTTTAAGTAGCCTACAATTTTTTGTGAAATTTTGTGTTTGTTTTAAAACAACTCAAGACTCTGTGCTATCTTCGAAGTATTGTGGATGTGTTGGTGTCATTCTCGGCCATTTTGATTAAACAGAAAATCAGAAAGACATTCTAAATATGAAGCTAAATATGATGTGTTTCTAGTTTATTGGTACCATAGTGGATTACTTATTGGTACATCTATTACATACTAAGCAAAGTTTTATACAACTATTGTATCTACTTTCACAGAAGCATACTTAAGCAACTCTATTCTCTACTATTGAGTTTCTCGGCTAGCTTTTCCTACAGACAAAATTAGACTCATTAACATATCATCTTAACAAATTTTCTTATCTAACAATCCTCTAAATGTATATACAGTAGCCCACAAAAAAAGTTACCGTTTCACTGATTTGTCCTATTTTAATTATTTTCATTTATCAACTTAGACCTTTTGTTCCGATAGAAAATTAAAGACTACAAAATCCAGTATATTAAGCTTTTAAGTTGATAAGAAATGAAAGAATGAAATAAAGAAAATCAGAAAAATGGTAACTTTTTTATGTTTATTATTCACAATATTTTTTTTATGAATTATATATTTCAAAGCTTCCGATTACACATTCGAATATTTCTTCAAGCGTTGTCGGTGCATCACAGAACGTGTCGATGATTTAATAACTCATTCGCGAATGGTAACTGTATGGTCCTCGAAACGGTCACGTACACGCGCCGGATAAAATGATTCCGTCGAAAGTTTATCCTTTTTGCAAACAAGCAAACATAGAAACGAACATGGGCGCAGAATTCATGGCGTTTGCGTTACGTTTGTTCCAGGAAGCGGCGAACCGTGGCTGAAGAGCGAAAAGCACGCTGAATTCGGGACCGAGGTGCAACTGCCGTGCGTCCTGAAATCGCCCCAGTGCAAAGGGCTTCACAGCATCAAATGGTATCGTGGCACGACGCGTATCTTCATTTTCAGCGAGGACGGCGGAATAACGCGCGGCCAGAACGACATCGCCGTCAGGTAAAATATATATTCTAACTTTACCGTCTGTACTTACGACAACAACGAAGTCGCATTAAGAAGCGACATCATGTCCCTGAGTATTGAGACCGTCAGTTGTTCCTTTCGGTTCTCCTTTCGAGCGATCTGCGATCGTCTTTTCGGTGCACACGCGTTCCTTTGTCTCTTCTTATAATACACTTGTGCTCGTTCTAAGTGGTTCGTTATCGAAGGTAAATTAGTTATTAAAGTGATCTCTCCTTTGTTAACGTTACTATAGACATTGCGTGGGTTAGTTTAGAAATTATAATCGCTACCTCTGGCAGATGGTATTTGGTCGAATAAACTTGTCTGTTATGAAAATTATACTCGAGGCGCTGAGAGGAAAAAAATGTTTAAAAGAACTATTCTGTTTAACTTTGTAGCTGTTAAAGACGTGTGTATACGTTCTACAGTGATGCCTCGATGAATGTGACACCAACAACGGCACTATTCCCACCACTGGGGGCGGGGGAAATCACGAGCACCGAAAACGAAATTAATTTTATCGCAGCTAAACGGGTTGGAAATATTTCTGAAAGTTTACATATTTATTAGCATTCTTGAGGAAGATTTTCTGTTTTATTGAGTGTTGTACGGGGATCAATGACTAAGTTTCTAGGGAAAAGTGAATCAAAAATGTTAGATAAAACTTTTTCGATGCAGTTTTTTACTTAGGAAATAGTTAGAAGAACGTCTCAGTTACGCAGATACAATGAAACTTAACGTTACGGAATGTACGTTTACTTTTCTTCTTGTGCTTGTATTTACAAACTTATGAAGGGTGCAGTACGCAGTTAGAGGATAAAAGTGCAAGGAGGAATGAAAATGAAATCCTCGAGGATAAACATACACAGTTGAGACTGAGTTAAAAATTCCTGTAGAAAAGAAGCACAAAATTTTATATACAGGATATCATCTAATAAATATTTCAAACTAAATAGGGGTAATTCTATGTGGAGAAATAATAATAATAAATTAAATGTATATTTCTTGTTAGCCACTAAAGAGAATTAACAGAATCTATATTATCAATACATACGTCTTTAACAAATCTAATTTTTACAATGCCTAGTTCAGAAATTAACTAGAAGATTTTTATGTTTTTTTACCTTTTTCCGTAACTTTATTGAATTTAAGTTAGATATTGTGTTATTAATAAAAAGGATATTAGACGAAATGTGAGCAGATTTCCTTAATAGTTACAAGTTTTTGAATGTTCATTTCGTAATATTCGTAAGTTACATCTAGAGGACGAAATTTTTAATTATCAAAATACCTGTCCAGGAAATTTTATATAATTCATTCGATGAAGTTTCGTGAAACAAAATCGTTAATGTTATTAATTCTCTGAAAAGGGTTTCGCCACCAGAATTTATATTAATGGAATGGAAGTATATGACGCAATTTCATCATTAAAATATATTCAACGGAATGAGATATTCATGGTTCGGTCAACATATTCAGGTCACTAGATAAATTTCAGTTACTTATTTTATACAAAAACTTTCATGAAAGAAGGAACTGTAAAAATTAATTGGTTGCCAAAGAGCACCATAAAAAAAATAATGTACTATCTACGCTTGTAACTAAAATTCCTCTTTAAATTGAACCAAAAACAATACACGATTTCATTTTTAGAAGCTTGTGACAGGTACTATAGATATCGCTTAAAATGTTAATTTCATTGTACAAATATCTCAGCAAGTTAAAACAGTGGTTGATTTAGAAGGAAATAAAGTTATCTGAAACGTTAACCTCACTGTAAGTAGAGCACCAGCGAGGACAACCACAGTGTTCGTCCATTGTTTCATGTTTTTTTTTCTCGTTCCCTCCGGTATCTGTTTCATTTTGACTGAAAGTTTCGCAATTACAACGTTTGTAAAACACCCTTTGAAACTTCTGACCGACGAGATCTTGAAGGGAAAAAAAGGCCACGTTTCAAGGCGTGCGTTCTTTTTACGAGGATGACCTCGATTGCGGAAGTAAAGATCGCGCGTAAGATGAGCAAACTTCTTTCAAGAGTGGTGCTATATCGTCGCGATCTCCCACGAGAGAACGATTAATGCGGGGACGTAATATCTGTTGGCGATATTGAAGTGGGGCAAGACCCCGACTGGACTAACGCGTATTACATCGTTCCATTGCTCTTTGCGTTTTTCTTTTCTTTGTCGCGATTGAAGTTTCTTTGAGGAAAACACACGCGAACATGGAAAAATCAGAAATCCACAGAATGATATTCTTTATGAGTTCTCTGTGTGTTTATAATTAATCTATCGACGTTTCCTTCATAGAAATTAAATTTTCAAAAACAGTTATTTATACCAATTTTTACTGTTGGAGACTCTTTCTTATACAACCAGGAATTTCATAATGTATTAAATACAGCGAGCGGTCGAGAAGATGGTACAAACTCGCAGGAGGTAATTCCTGGTGCGAAAATAAGTAAAAAATGTAGAATAACATCTTTTCATCCGAGACTTAGATTTCAAGAAAATCGATTTTGAAAAGTCATCTGAGACGCGTGTATTCGCGCTGACGACAAAGTAGAAACGGAATGCAATGAGCAGACGCGTTATTGGAATCCCATATTCCATTACAAGTATACATATCAAATATTCAAAATCGATTATCTCGTAGCTACGATTGAACATATTTTATTCTAGAATTTTGATCTAATTTTTGTATAAAGTATCGCCTGCTGCCAGTTTGTGTACAGTAAAAAGAAAGTATTCATGCACTAATTATGCTTATTACAAATTAACAATACTATTTCCACTAAAATATTAGGTCAACAATGGTTTATTTCCAAGTATACCGAAACAAATTAGCTTTATATTCAGGTATAGCCAGACGAAAATCATTTTTGAACTATTGTTACACTAAAAACATCAATTGATAGTAAAAATTAACAGTGAATGAATTCTTCTTTCTGCCACTGTATGTATAAAATAAAGGGCAAGCGTTTATAACCATATCATGAATTCAATTAGTGCCGGAGAAATAGCAAAAAATTATAGAATATCAGAGGAAGTATTTCAAGGAACGGATAGTGTTGTAAATGTTCAATATTATTACCAATTTTTAATTGAAGAACGGTCATTATTTTTTGTTTGTTTTATATCATGGTTAATCCGGAAGCTTCTGGACTTCCCTACGTAACTATTTCCAAAGTTGGTTTCCCAACAAAAAATGTCGATGTCCTCGATAAAACTCAACGACAAATTAAATATTGCATATACACTAACGCCCGTTAGTGTCCGGATACAACACACTATCGACGTTAGAATATTACTATTTATCAATAAATAAAACTATAATTTTTGCTGTTATTTACCGAATTGAATAGCTTTCTCTCGAGTTATCAATCTCTTGCCTGCCTCGTATTACTGACATGTTTTTCTCGATTACATGGCTGATATTCGTCTAAACGCGTGAAAGTACAACAAAAGTTAGAAAAAGGCAGGTAAAAATTGTTTCTTCTGTATATGTACATTCTGCGTATACCTTTTCATTCTCCTTTGGTCACAGTACTTTTACCGATATTATTTATGCATAAATATCACTTACACTCTTCTATAACAGTTAAATTATAAAAATCAATAAAGACATTTCGTATACATTTTTATAAAAATTCATAGAATACTTCATATCTTTGCATCGTCATATAAGTGTTCGGATACTTCTGGAGGGTAATCTGTTTCACCGATTCAGGAGTGTTCCTATATTCACGTATATCTGTTGGAAATTTATAATATATGCAAAGACTTATGATATGATTTCGTGGATATTCGTGGCGCTGTTATTAAATATTCAGAAAAAATTAAGAACATTGAACGCACACTTCGCTCGGTTTGCCCTACTTTGCCGATCTAATCCCGGATTACCAGCTGTTCAGTTTCTTTAAAATGAACCCACCGAGCCCGAAGCTTTCAATGCAACCCCAGATGGCGATAATATTTCTAACGTTTTAATCCTATCGGTGTAATATTCATTTTTCCAGTGGTTTCACAATCGGACGTCTCGCCGTCGCGTCGGTCAAACGTAAGCCGAGATCGTTTCCACTTTGTTTCACGTTCCGGTGAATTACAAAGGCACGCGGTTTTGGCATTATTAACCATTCGGTGTACGCACCCCGAATTGACGCTCGTATAATTGATTTTAAACGGTATTGAAACGTTTTACTGTGGAATATCGTAGTTTTTCTTATCGTGAAAAAAGGATTGCGTTAAATTGTGGTATCAATGGAAAGGTGATGATTTCTCGTAGTATGGTGAAAATAAAATTTAAAATAAAATTACTTCATACAAGACGTACTTTTCGAATAGATTGAAGATTTATATAGTACTGTGTACTTCAGTGTCATTTAATTATGTTAATAAACACAGCTGATAATACGGTATTATCCATTTTTCAAAGAAGTCTACTATAAATTAACTCTACTATAGAATAATACTTATATTTTAAAGATACAATCCATTGTACGTACACATCAGTTTTTTCGGGTGTTTTTACCGCGTCTCGTATTCACAGGATGGAAGTAAATTTGCCCTAGTACCAAGCGAACGACCGGAGTGAACAGGGTTATTAATTCAGCTCGTGCTTTATTGTGGTATCCCGAAAATTTCCTGCAGCTATTTTAGCAAGAGAATGCGTGGCGCAATTATGCTAAGCATTAAAGGTTACTACGAATATTAACTTCGTTTCGTAGTCACCGTTCTGACGTATAGTCTTCAACTGCAATTTCTAAAGTACAAATATAATGTTTTTTATAATACATAAAGTTTATTGAAGACCTTTGATCTTCATTTATAGATGTTGTACCCTCAAATTATGAACATATACCAGTTTTAGTTGCTTTAATTCATTCTCTCCTATCTTTTAACAATTAAAACTAGTTGTTGGAAACGGGTACTGGGACAAAATATAGAAACTATCATGTAATGTGAATTAAATAATCTTCAAAGTTGTCAATTTATTCA